CCGAATTTGTTTGATCTGGTTATTAGCAGTCAGCTAATGATTGTATTTTAAACTTTAAAAATCAGGTTTAAAAGATATTTGGCATATTAGCATGTATAAACTTTAAAACAGATTCGGTTTTCATCTAGAATCATTCAGTTTAGTCAAGTCGACAATTACTCTTGTAGATCACATTGTCTTTCTCAATGAATGTGTTCCCTCATCTGCTGTTCATATCTTTACGGATTAGATGAGTTAACCTATCCTAGGCACAGAGAACTTCACAACTGAAGAGGTTTAACCGAGTTACCTGATGTTTGCAGGTGATCTCGATACGTTCGCTTCCTTCCGTGATGACGTCTTTCCTGCTACATACGATGGAGCGGAATAAAAATTAGACTGACCAAAACCGAGACTTTTATGCTATCTAGAAAGACATTTTCTCGGTGCTTTGCAGGAAAGTGAAGTACATCTGAATCAGGTAGTTAAGTTTAAGTATTTCAAGGTTAGTGTTCACGAGTGATGACAGCCAGAACGTGGAAATGGACGGAAGTTTTAGTTCGTGAGTCAAGACAGTCTGCAGGTGATGCAGGAAAAGCTGAGCAACGGTAATGCGCAGCTGTCTTTAAATCAGTTTATGCCAGTATCATTACCTTTGGTCGTGAGTGCTATACTTTAATGGGATGCGGCGGGTAGAAATGAGGTTCCGCGAAAGATTACTCTTATGACCAGCCTCTACAAAATCTAATACTATGGAACCGTGACCTGCTTAGTCGACAAAAGTGACAAACCAAAGTAAACGAAATCGTTAGTATTGCTCCGAGATCATAGAAAAGATGAAAATTTGGCTAGAACATGAGTATCTTGTCCCAATGACAATAAAGAAATCTGTCTATTGCCTGCCTGACTCTTTCCAGAATAGTTCCGGAGATGAGTTTCCCAGTAGTTTACAGTAAGGTAATATCAATTTTTTTGGAGTACTCGGTAACATGTCTCCTTTTAAATATAGGGATAGATACTCCACACTTCCATTTTCCAGGGAAACGAATTGAGGTCTACATTTTATAAAAATCAGCGTTGGGAATTTCTGGTGTTGCTGTACCTTCTTATTTGGTTTATTCAGGCAAGGAGTTGGGATTCGGTCCATATCACCGGTTTTTTTCTCGTTTCGGAGTAAGAAGGTGTTTAGGATATCTGGTTTTGTGGTGCATCTGCTTTCATTTATTCTGTTAGCCGAAATTAACGGCCAAAAAGGCCGAATCTAGAGGACAGCTGTTGAGAAAATATTGGAAATGCGAACCTGCCCTTTTAACTTAGTAGTGAGAACATGCCAGGAATCCATGAACCCATGCCTTCCTGAACGATCACAGATTTACTCTCTTTCTCTGCTTATTAGAGCACTGTTCGCCAGCCAGATTTTTCATTTCGCAACCCGTTTTGCGTCTAGGTAGCAGATTTCTTACTATTTTATTTGACGTTTCTTTTGAAATTTGTTTTACCGTAGTTTATTCACGTTCTCGCATAAGTAGGCTA